GCCCTGATAACAATCTAGTTCTATCGGAAGCCATTTAAATTGACTTCAAACAATGATTTGTCAAAACAACACCCAATTAATTGTTTACACCTGCACTGATAATTAATCCATCATCATTGTTTACGTAGATCTAAGCTTGGGTTGTAACTGGAAGTTAAAAGTGCAACCTAATTTACGAACCAAATCCGGAAATCTGCAGATTTTCGGGTTCGGCAAAAATCGGTGAAAAGCATGACCCGCCGGGTCATAAAAAATAATTGGGTTACAGGTTGAAAAATCAGGTGTAACCTGACGAAATCGGGTGAGTTGGCAACTATGGATGTAATGATTTACATGTCATATGTTGACAGTGTGACCTTTAGGGTGAGCGCAGATACTTATCAGGTTTAATTTAGATCAAGTTCATCAAACCACACATGAAATTTGGTGCTTCTAGTCTCTGACGTCACATGACATCGAATTTTTAAAAGTTGCATTAACAAACCTTAGCCTGAACAGTGCTGACATTAAATAAAAAGGTTTCGCTGTTTATCTGCAAAATATCCATTAAATGAAAGTGATATTCTTATTGAATTTTTGTTGCTATTCTCACGAGAACATAGCTTAACAAAACGATGCATTGTGGGTTCTGAAGTAACTTTGGAAAAAAAATCGTTGGATCAATTTTCTCTTTGCTCAGGCATAGTTGTTAGAGCTTGCATTGCAAGCAGTGCCTTTCTCTTTGCTCAGGCATAGATGTTAGAGCTTGCATTGCAAGCAGCGCCATGCCTTGCCGTCGCGCTCAACTTTGCAACATTTACACAACATGCTCGTTTTGCACAACACGCCGTCGCGCTAACACACAACGTATGATATGTATGGTGTCCGGACAACACGCCGTCGGCCAACTTTGCACAACACGCCGTCGCGCGACATTGCGCCGTCATGCTAACGCACAACACGCCGTCGCGCTAACACAACTTTGCACGCGCCATCGCGGAAGTCGTGTACGGAATATAAGCTTGCTACGGACTTTTAGCAGATTTTTTTTTTAATTTGTTATAACAAATTATTAATTTGTTACCAATATCAATTTGTTTAATCAAATTAGTAATTTGTTAAAACAAATTAGTTATTTTTAAAATAAATTAGTAATTTGTTTAAATAAATTAGTTATTTGTTAAAATAAATTAGTAATTTGTTAAAATAAATTAGTAATTTGTTAAAACAAATTATATTTGTTAAAACAAATTAGTAATTTGTTAAAACAAATAATTAATTTGTTAAAATAAATTATCAATTTGCTAAAACAAATTATCAATTTGTTTAAACAAATTTTAGTAATTTGTTAAAACAAATTATCAATTTGTTCAAAACAAATTATCAAAGTTGCATTAGCGCGATGGCGTGTCTTTTGTTAAAACAAAGTTGTTTTATAGCAAATTATCAGTTTGTTATAACAAATTATCAATTTGTTATAACAAATTAAAAAAAAATACTGCTGCGAAAGGGTGTTGTGCAAAGTTGTGTTAGCGCGACGGCGTGTTGTGCAAAGTTATGTTAGCGCGACGGCGTGTTGTGCAAAGTTGCAATGGCGTGTTGTGTGTTAGCGCGACGGCGTGTTGTGCAAAGTTGCGTTGGCGCGACGGCGTGTTGTGTGTTAGCGCGACAGCGTGTTGTGCAAAGTTGCGTTAGCGCGATGGCATGTTGTGTGTTAGCGCGATGTCTTGTTTATCTGAACGCGATGTCACGCTAACGCAAATGGCCCTATCCGGACACCATAGATATGGGAATGGTTAAATGTAAGAGCTATAATAATATAATGTTTATATTGAGCTCTTTTGGAGTGTTTTATGTAAATCTGCTAGAAATCTGGTTTTTCTTTATAATTTTTTTTTTATTCATTTGTTTTATTTCAGTTTGCTGACAAAAGGAACCATTAAAAAAGCATACAAAAATAAAGTTGGTCGGGAAATTACAGCTGATGAAAAAAACACCCTGAATCTAGTTTTGAAGAATATTCTTACTGATATCAACCAAGTAAGTTCAATTTCCAAATGATACTTTCTAGTTCATTCGAAAATAAAAGCAAAAAATAAAAATGGGAGATGTAGAGAGAAAAAGCAGAATGGTACTTACATAATATTGGACATTAACATGCATGTATCTGTTACTGTGAACATTTTATTTCTTTACCTGTATTCAACACTTTAATATAATATTTCCAAATAGTGTTTTCATGCATATTAGCTCATTAATATGTTTTCACTTGTTCTCCTAATATAAAGCCTTTTTTCCTGTAGCATGGTGGAAATAAGGAAAATGCTCAATCCCTTGCCTCGCCGTTAAAACGAGTAGAATCTCCAGGTAAACGTACGCCTGTTAAAAAGAAAGGTGAGCAGAACTGGTGAATCAAGAATTAATGTTTTATACACATACAGAAGTATTTGGATTTATCTGTAGCTTATGTATGGCTCAGGGACCCTTCCCTCAGTTAACCATACATGATAATAAGTACACTCAGAATGACAAATTTCTCCTGAAAGCATTGTCAAATAATGGACATTCATTTTTGTTTAAAGTAGAACATGATGACAATAAAAATTTTAAATGAAATATACTGGTAATGTTTTTCCCACCTACCTACCCTATTTTTAGCTCTACTGGTCAGAGACCAGAAGAGCTTATGCGATAATAAGGTGTCCGTCGTCCGTCCTTCTGTCTGTCTGTCTGTCCGTCTGTCTGTAAACAATTTTTCAAAACGCTACTCCTCCTACAGTTTTGGTCTGATTTTAATATAGCTTGGCACACAAGTACACTACACAAAGATACATAAAATAGTGCATCAGATTTTGATTTCGATGAACGGTGTTGCCATGGTTACTAAAAATAGAATTTTCCGTGAAATTCATTTAAAATGCTACTCCTCCTACAGTTAAGATCTGATTTCAGTATAACTTGGCACACAAGTTGACTACACTAAGATACACAAAATAGTGCATCGGTTTTTGATTTCGATGAACGGTGTTGTCATGGTTACTAAAAATAGAATTTTCTGTGAAATTCCTTTAAAACGCTACTCCTCCTACAATTTTGATCTGATTTCAATATAACTTGGCATACAAGTAAACTACACTAAGATACATAAAATAGTGCATCGGTTTTTGATTTCGTTGAACGGTGTTGCCATGGTACCTAAAAATAGAATTTTCTGTTAAATTCTTTTAAAACGCTACTTCTCCTACAATTGTGGTCTAATTTCAATATAACCTGGCACACAAGTAGACTACACAAAGATATATAGAATGGTGCATTGGATTTTGATTTCGTTGAATGGTGTTGCCATGGTTACTAAAAATAGAATTTTCTTTGAAATTCCTTTAAAACGCTACTCCTCCTACAATTTTGATCTGATTTCAATATTACTTGGCACACAAGTAGACTACACAAAGATACATAAAATAATGCATGTTTTTTTTTCGATGAACAGTGTTGCCATGGCTACTAAAAAAAGAATTTTCTGTGAAATTCCTTTAAAATGCTACTCCTCATACAATTTTGGTCTGATTTCAATATATGACTTGGCACACAAGTAGACTACACAAAGATACATCAAATAATGCATGTTTTTTTTTTTCGATGAACAGTGTTGCCATGGCTACTAAAAAAAGAATTTTCTGTGAAATTCCTTTAAAATGCTACTCCTCATACAATTTTGGTCTGATTTCAATATATGACTTGGCACACAAGTAGACTACACTAAGATATATAAAATAGTGCATCGGTTTTTGATTTTAATGAACAGTGTTGCCATTGTTACTAAAAATAGGAATGTCTGTGAAATTCCTTTAAAAAGCTACTCCTTCTACAGTTGTGGTCTGATGGCAATGGCTTCTTTTCTCATCCTTTGTTATAAGTACAAACCAGTAGAGCTACAGTCTCGGCAGAGACTTCTGGTTTTTCTCAGGTTGGAATAGAAAACACACTTTTTTATCATTGCCTTGTCAGGGCCAGTGAGAACAGAGTTGACAAAAAGAAAACATGTATTTATATGCAAATTCTTGGAAGACAATTTTCATGGGATGAAATATATTATTATACCTCATATGAATAATCACTAGTTAGATAAAATCTGATTGGGTGTGACAGTCACGTTACCTTCGTGTTTGCCCTGCAACAAAACTTCATGTTTCACAAATGTTACATCACACTGACACATTGCGCGACTGAGATGATAACTACTGAGATAGATTGTTTATATCGTTGATTAATAATGTTGATATAAATTTTAAAATATATTTATTGGGAAAACTGTTTACATGTGTGGGGAATGAATGGTACTATGTATTAGGTAAATCAGAATTACCTGGTACTTGTCATGAATGTGATTAGTGTATCTTTTGTTAACAGAGAAATCTGCAGTGCCTCTTCAGTGTAGCAGAGATAAGAAAACCTCCCGGACCTCTGTTTCCCCCAAACTGAGGGTGGATGAAGTAGTAGATGCTGTGATGAAGTCCAGCGATGAGGAAGATGAGAATGAAGATGAAACATCACACATCTCACCCCAGAAAAAGAAATCTCCACTGAAGAAAAAGTCTCCTGTAAAGAAAGCAAAACAAAATGTTAAAAAGAAAAATATTGATAGAATAGAAGAAGTAGTCAGCGCGGTTCTGGACTCGGAGAATGAAGATGATGATGGCAAGAGTGGGGATGTCTCAGATGAAGATGCTGAGGATTCAGATGATAACGAGATGAAAAGAAAGCTTTCATCAGATGAGTCAGACAGTGAAGATGAATATGAACCTTTTAAAGATGAATCCAAATTTATTTCTCCTAAAAAGGTTTTGAAGAAAAATGGGAAGAAAAATCAGTCGGTGAAGAAAAGAGGAAATCAGAAAAAGAGGAAGAGGTACAGTCTGAGTTCTGATAGTGATGTGGAGGAGGAGGTGATCATTTCTGAGAAATCAAGCGAAGACTCCTCTAGTGAGGAAGAACCTGTGAGGACTAAGAAGTCTGTCAAAAGGAAGAAGGTCATCTCTAGTGATTCTGAACAATCAGAGGAAGAATGTAAACCCAAACGACAGAGGACACTCTACAGTAAGAAGATTAAAATATCTGATGATGATGATTCTGATAGCAAAACGGAGAATAAACCAAGCAGAACTAAAAATACATCGGGGGGAAAGAAAAAAAGCACAGTGTCAAAGAAAGTGAAATCTGTAGAAAAAAATGTTTTCAGTATCACTGAAGTGTCAAGTTCTGAAGACGAAGGCCTGTCACTAGCACAGCTCAGAAAGCTATCTGCATCTAGTCAGGATAGTTGTAAAGGGGAGAAAACTCTGTCAGAATCAGATGTGAAGAAAAATGTGAAGAAGAGTGACAAGAAAGATAAGCAGGACAAATCTAAGTCCAAGGCCCCTCCCAGTAAACACTCAAAGAAAGCAGGGAGTGAAACAAATAGAACAGGTAGGAAAATGACAAATAAACGTAGTGAAAAGAAACAAAAGAAGAAGAAAAAAGTGATAGAGTCTGAGGATGAGTCGGAAGGCTTGGAGATAATTTCTACAGACTCGGATTCTGAAGAGGATGTGCCCCTCTCTGTACACAGGAAGACATCTTCATCAAGTGTGAAAGAGGCTGAAATAGACTCAGACAAAGAAAACTCAGATTCTGAGGAAGATGTCCCACAATCTAAACACAGAAAAACATCATCATCAAGTGTTAAAGAGGCTAAAATAGAGTCAGACAAAGAAAACTCAGATTCTGAAGAAGATGTCCCACAATCTATACACAGAAAAACATCATCATCAAGCTTTAAAGAGGCTGAAATAGAGTCAGACAAAGAAGAAATAGATCAGGTAAAGTGATTTGATATACATGTATATCCTAAAATGAATGAAAACGTGTACATTTCTTAGATATTATACCAAGTATAGCAATATATTTGAAAAGCTAGCTTTTCACTGAACACATTTAAGATCATTAGGGAGTGGAAAGAATATAGGCTTATTGTTCTCATGTGTATATACAATGTATGTTTATTACATATGTATACATTACGTACATATACATTGTATATACAGAAAATTAGCTTCTGGAACTACATATGAATATTGTTCGTTTGTTATTTTGTCAAGAGGGTTGTCTCCAAACTATGAAATAGCAGTGGATATATATTAAAAAATAGATGGATTCAGGGTTGAAGTTTCTCCCCTAACCGGGTTAAGGGTGATACCACAAAATCCAGGGGTTTATGACATTATATCTGATGAAATTCCCACCCCTGGGTCCAGGGGACAGTCATGCTGTTACTTTGTTTTTGAAGAGCGATAATTAACTCAGAAGTTTTGGATTCCAGGAAATGTTGATGCTGATAGTGTTCAGGTTTGCAACTCTAAACATGTAGGTATTGAAGTTATATGAAATGTATAATATTTGTTTATTAATAATAATTATAAGTAATTTCAAATAATATGGAAATTTGCTGTTGATAGTACATGTATTGCAGTGCATAGTTCAAAGTTCACCCAATCTAATTAAAATACAGATCTCTATACTGAGCTATAAGTATAGAGATCTGTATTATAATTGGATTGAAGTTCACCTAGATTGAGATGAGCTGTTGAATCCTTACATGAGCAAGGTTTTAATGTTCTAGTTAAGTTTTAGGAGGGAGACCATTGCCAATTAATGATAAGGCTTATTGAACATGCTGAAGCAGAACTTGTTAGTGAGTGACTTGAAGTGTTTGGTTTTGATTGTAATGTCACTCTAGCACTAGTACCTACTTGTATATTCTACACCCAAATCTACACAAAAATATCACTCAAATCAATTTCCTAAATGGTTTAGAAAAATAAAACAGCAAATGTATACACATAAAAAAGAGATAACCAAGGGTTCTAGATCTCATGGGGAAAAATACTTGAGCAATAGATGGTAGGGACTTCCAAATCACTTTGACATACCCATGGTATTGTGTTTGAGATATCAAAGTCCAAATGTATTTATTGTTAGTCTGTGTTGCTCATTTGTGATATTTGTCAATACATGTATTTGTGAAGGTGTGGTTTCACTGGTTTGTAACTTTTGGTTACCTATTGTCCACATTCAAGAAACGGTGTCAAGCAGAATCAACTCTATATAATATTGTCAGTTTATCGGGTGAGATGCTGTGCTCTTTGTCTCTGTAGGATTCAGACAGTAGTTCAGTTTCTGAGAGCAAGGCTTCAACAAAGATTACATCTGTTGAAAAGAAAAAGAAAACATCTAAATCAACAACAAAGGTAACTTTTAATTAAAGGGAGTTCTAAAAAAAAAAAAGATTAGGGCCAAGGATATGCAGCTGCTGATGGAGTTCAGGTGCACAATTTCCCTTACTGAAATGGACATGATATTATAGTCTATCCTCTCATCGTGACTGTCTTGTTCACAGTTTTATGGTCTATTGCTAAGTAATTATAAGCCTTACTTATCTTCTATAAATATTCAAACTTAAGGTATTTAATTAATATATCCTAAATAATGATGATTTTATTCTTTTAGGATTCAGCCAGTAGTTCAGATTCCGATAATGAGGCTTCAACAAAGATTACATCTGTTGAAAAGAAAAAGAAATCATCAAAAACAGCTACAAAGGTAACATCAATTTCTCTGACATCGTCCATTTACCACCTCGTATATGACTGGGTATATAGTGTTAATCATGTCTTAACTCAATCATACTGTCCTTCCATTTCTTTGTCTATCACCCTTTGCATCAATTGTGTCAATTCAAGAAACTACATGTATATATACTGTAAACCAACTTTTATTCGCGTGCGAGAAATTTTTGCGAAGTTCGCAAGAGCCTCTTCATTGCGAATATTTCTCGCCGCAAACCAGTCCTTAAAGTGTATGTGTCATAAACAACAGATCCAAAAAGGCTTGATTGCAAAAATTAATCGTGGCGAACTTATTTAAGCCTTGTAAATCGCGAAATAAAGTCATTTTGAATAAAAGATGGTTTACAGTATTCAAGATATTTTTGCATCAAAATTCAGAATAGAGAAAATATTAATGAGAGGTATTCAATTCTGATTTCTTTTTATTCTGCAGATCATGACCTAATATATATACATCCTTCAACTTATTGTGTTTTTTTTTTCATCTAAATGTATAGCTTTGTTTTGAAGAAAATATTCAAGGCTAGTTTTCAACAATGCATATTCATGAAAATTATCTGAATATGGACATGGAAAAAAGGATTCCTGTAGGTTTGAATTGACTTGTAGAATATTCACAATCCGGAATCTTACTTAAAACAAGTGTTATGATCATTATAAGATATATAGATTACATAAAAAAAAAACTATGATAATTTCAGGTTTAGCATGACTATATATATCTTTTTACAGATTTCCCCGAGGGAGGGTAATGAAGAGGGTGCTCGGATGAAGGAGTTACGTAAAATCTGTCGGGCGGTGGGGATCCTGGTCACGAATTCCCGACACCTCTCGGGATGTACCACGGAAAACCAGAAAATAAATAAACTGAAGCAACTGCTGAGGGAGGCAGGCATGGAAGGTAGGAGTTAGTTACCCTGATGTTTTCTTAATTGTACAAGTTTATTGAAATTGAACAAAATCTGTAGGGGGATAAATTTCAGTGGAAAAGTTTGTTTTTTTTTAACAGAAAAACTAAAAAATTTTCGGTTTACACTACATTTAAAACTTTGATATAGAGTACTTTATACTGTGTAAATCGTGTTCATTCTATCTGTAGGTAGGCCAAGTATGAAAAAAGTGGAGGAGGTGAGGCTAATGAAGGAAGCGGCTGAGCTAGATACACACAACATACTGAAAGTAGAGGGTAAGAAAAATGTTTAAAGTTGTCTGTGTCAGAAACAAGAGTGACATACATTGTATAATTTTCTTCATCTGAGAAAGAGTTGCTTCAATTTGACTTCCTGCACTTGCACTATATTGCCAGAAATTGAGATACTATCTTATTTTCACTATTGTTTCTTCTATTTTACAGGGAGAGGGAAAAGGAAAGTGAACAGCTTATTTTCAAGGTCAGATAATTCTCCCAAGGTCAAGGCCACACCACCAAGAGAAAAGTTCAGTAGATTGAGGGACATTATAGACAGTGACTCTTCTGACTGAGGAGGTAATTTTGTTAAGTTATACAGGGTGTCAACATAGCACTCAACTGCTTGCCAAATGAAAATATTTACACTAAGCATGTTTTTTGCATTTAAAGTGAATGGAAATATATTGCATTCAAAACACCATAACACAGAGAGGGGATCAAAAGGTTAAAGATGACGTTTTAGTTTGAAGTCACAAACGTTGAACGTCATGGAAATGCAATGACATAAGCGAAAATCAAATATCACGCTCACTTTGAACATGAGCTGTTGCTTTGGATCTTCCATTAACTGGAACTTACCAGAACGATAATACAGGAATTTTCAAATATACATGTAAATCCATTTACAATGAAAGGCAATATGAGTTATAATATCAGCAATGAATGATTAATTTTTGAAGGATAAAGTCTCATAACTGCAACGGTAAGTGCAAACAACTTTTTATGATGTGCTAATGCGTGTTACTCAATTTGTGTGCATACACAGTTACAGTTATGAGACTTTATCCCGCTTCAGACAAATTTGTCGTTTACTGATTGGATAAAAGCTAATCACATGATGCCCTGAAATTTTCCATATCATGTCTCCGTCGAGGCGAAGAAATATTTTATGTTGATTGTTATTGGATTAAAACTTAATATTTTCATAATATGCACAAATATTTTTTTATATCAAAAAAAGGTCTTCAGCGGGATAAATTCGTAACACAGTCAGTTAGTGACCTAATACGGATTCATACAGGGTGTGAAATGGAAATCCGTATTGGGACTCGGCTTCGCCTCGCCCAATAAGGATTTCCATTTCACACCCTGTATGAATTAGGTCACTAACTGACTGTGTAACTAATATCTTTCAAAAAATAATGTTTCACAACTTAAGTAAATATGGTGTTGGCTTATGAATTTTATTACTAAATAACTAACAAGGCATATTGTTGGGGCATATTTTTTGGAAAAAAAAATCCTCTATTAAAAGATTGCTCTCAAATTCCCAAACCTTGTATGAGAAAGAGAAGTTTAAATTCCTTGAGATACATAAGCGAGCAGGAAGAAATCATAGCACTGTTGGTCATTGGTTCCTGCTTCTCATTTTAGTTTAATACATATGCATTATTCTTAATTTAATCGAAAATAACATGTATGTGTCAGAACAAGCACATTATTTATTTGGTTTGTTCTCTGATGTAGTCACCTGCAAGAGTTGTTCCCCTTTGACCAAAGACTATTCTTGGTACAAGTCAACAGCTCCAAAAGTGTTAAACATTGTTTAAATTTTATGTATAAAGGACAGAATTATTAGTTCTTTATGAGTGTTTGCATTAGCAATCAGCATGCACAAGTCATTTAGTTATGTAGATCTTCAATAAGATATTAGTCAACTTTAAATACCTTTATTATTGTGTCCTAACAACTTTGTTAATTTATCAGACCTGTGTGAAATTTGGTCATTGTGAAAAATTGTGATAATGTAAACACATTTTATTCCAACAGATCAATCAATGCTTTTTTTTTTTAACTCTTTGATCTATAATATACTAGCTGTGATATTGATCACACTTGGTAAGGTGGAGAAACCTAGCTACAGCATGGATGAGATTGAAAGATTTCAACTGGTCATTCTAGGAAAAAATTCTGTACATTTTTTTTTTTGTAGTAGGAAAAACAATCCTTAATGCTTAATAAGAAAAAGAACAGCATAATCTCCTGTAACTTTTATTAAGTGAGACAATGGTAATAATATCTTTTAATAGAAAATATACATTACTTAATGACAAACATTTTAATAATAATGTTTCAAATAAATAACTCTCAAATAACATAAAATAAACATGACATTAAAACTACTTAAAGACTAATATTACTGTCAGTTTTAAACTTTGATGTTAGATAACAATGCATTCAAACACAACCAAAAATAGTTAAAAAAATAAAACAAAGAATTTTAAAAAATAATACATATTAAAATTCAAAAAGTGAATGTCATCATTAAAGTAAGTAAGTTACATTAAAAAAAAAAAATCATGTGATGCTCAAATTTCTGACCTACATTTCACAATCAAAGGTGATGGGTTAGTGAGAGTTTTGTCATGTTTTTATACAGATGTACATGTATCTATAGTTGACCTAGTTGTGACCCTTTAACTGCTATCTGTTTGGGTTTTAGTTACCTGATTAACCAGGTAACCAGGAGGCTTCGGTGTCGTCTAATGAATTCACACCAATTATCTCCGATAGCCTGTGTATTCCTCATTCAGGGGATATGTCTTTGATCTTCCTACAAGAAATTTACAGATAAGTGTATTGCCCAATATCTCACAATTATACTGCTGTGTTGAAATTGAAATGGGATGGCACAATAGTGATTCATTTTGCTCTTCATTTAAAATTCATATGTATACATTCCAAAGGATTTCTATCAGTGCCTATTTTGAAATTTTAGGCAGCTTTCATATAAACTGTTTAAAAAAATGTCATTTCTAATTTCATCAAATTTTATAGCACTAGGAAATCATTTTATCAGAGAGATGTTCATAAACTTCATGAATCTCCTTCACAAAAAATTTCAATCTTAGAGCATATATATTGTTGTTTGTCAATAAAACTGTCAATTTTGCACAGACAGAAAAAAAACTAACATGGATTGAATGAAGTCAGTTAAAAGATCAAAGAATATACAAGACTACACTCCTATCATGCTTATATAAAGTTAGTTGGATCTTTTTTTAAATAACATGTTTTTTTTTTACTTTACAAGATAAATGAGTGATCAAGTGGTTCAGGTTAATTTTCATTTAGCTACATCATTGTGATTGAAGAGATACAAAAGAATTTGTCTTACATGCGGAATATTCATGAAGGGTATTGTTGATTGTCCTTGTAGCAAGATAAAGTAAGAACATGCACCAAAATGTACATTATGCAACAATGTAAAGAATAAATGTCCTCTGATTATAGGTTAAGCCAGGCTAGGAGAGGGAGACCCATTGTATGGGGGTACCCTGCAGAGCCAAGGAGAATTTGACTTTGAGGTGACATTGGGTGCAGCTACAATAGAGCAGAGCCAATTACATTCCTGCCTCCAATTACATTATAGATCTGATCACTCAAGGATGAATATGCTTATCAAGATCATTAATTCTGCACCAAAGTTTGAAACAGGACTTGATTCATCTGTCAGAGTTTTTGAACATAAACAATTTTAAATGGCTATTAGTTTTGACAGTGTTTACATTCACTCTTTTGAAGTACAAATTGTGAAAGATTTGGATTGTACTTTTTAGAAAGAGTAAAGCTTTAGAAAATTTCATATATGTCTATACTTGATCTTATTTTAAGCTCTTTAATCAGTAATGTTTGGTACATGTAAGTAACTTGTATTCAGCTTTTACATGTATAACAACGTGCTTCATAAAATACAGAGTACAATTAGATACATGTGTATATATGTTTTTGAAAGGTGTTACATGTAGTCCTAACAACTTGAATTTTGTAATCATATGATATGACATCTTTCTGTTTGTAAAGTTCTCCATTGCCAGTTTATTTCTGGTTACATGATCTGTCATTAGAACACAGAGTATGAGACTTGAAGGCTTTTTTGAGAGCTTAGGAAGGTTTAGAATCAATGATATAACCGCCAGTCTCCTGATAAGTACCATAAACTGGTTCCCAGCCTGTGACGAGATAACCAGTATCAGGAGAAATCAGCACCCTACTTCCTGTTCTTGTCTGTAATGTCAGCCAGAAATAACATTTATGATCCAGACAGCACTGAATGGCCAACTTACAGAATTCTTCATAATCAGTATATCTAAGTACTTAATTCTCAGTCTGTAATTGATCAGTTATTGATCAGTTATTGGTCACCTTTCTTCTGCCTGTGTGATGATTTAGTATAAGAATCAGCCTTTGATTTCTTCCTGAGAAAGTAGGAGTTGGTGTCAGTCATAACATCTGTTTCTCTTACCAGTGATTGTGAATGAGTAAGACTGAAATAAAAACAAATATTAACACACATTTAAATAAAAATGCAATAAAATTATCATAAATAAGGCAAATGATGGCCCTGTCACAGACCATTGATCCATAACTAGATGCAGTTTTATGAGACCACCTTTTCTGCCATGCAGGTGTTGCTTGAGAATCAATAGAACCATGTAAGTTCTGTAAATGCACATTTTGATACTTGGAGCAGTGAAGCACTTTACTTCAATGATAACAACTTCTGACACAGCACTTCTGAACGTAAAAAATTACTGCAGTAGTTCTCAACTCAAAATGTCTGCATAATTTGGAATATTTGACCTCCTTTGCAGGAGTGAATATTTCCTTTTTTATGCCCCCATCATCAAAGGTTGGAGGCTTATGTTTGTTGACATCTATGTCAAGAATTCTATTCTGTCCATCTCTTTAGCTGTAAAGTGTCAATCTGTCTGTCTTTTTGTCCACAAAATCTTATTTTTACCCACAAGTTTTGGATAGTTGCTGCGAGGACTTTTATATTTCATTTATGCATTCATTGTCCTTTCCTTTGTCCTCCTGTTAGTGACCTTGGAATATGACCTCTTTGAAAAACTTGAACCCTAGCCATATTTTCTGGAAGGTTGGTACTAGGGCTATTATATATTTCACAATATATATTCGTGGTGGAAATACCTTTCTTTGAGCAATAAGATTTTTTAACTTTTGGCCTAGATATTTGATCTACATTTGAAAAACTTTTACCTTGACCTATAGCTGTAAAGTGTGGGCATCAGTATTTTATTCACATCTTTCTTTCAATGAATGGAACATGACTGCCCACTGAATAATGTTAGGCAATGACACAGGCCTAGATCCTATTTGTTCTGTTTGAAATGTATATCACAACTTCTTAAAGGAAATTATCATTTGTAATATAAATCTTAATACCAGACACATTTAGCATCATAGGTTATAGGTTAAAGCATCTAATTATATTTTTACTTTTTTTTTTTACCACTGATTATAAGCATAAAAATGCAGATTAAATTCTGAGAGTTAAATGTCAATACAGAAATGTTAATGATGAGGCGAGAGTTTTAATTAGTATGGTGAATGGCGTTTTATGCAATGCTAAAGAAATGACATTTAGCATAATTATTTACATTGCACATGTATAATAAATTGTAAATATCCCACCTATTGTAATATAGGGCATACGCTGTACTGCATCCACAGATGAAGAGTAATTGACCTTGACACAGCGTTTTCTACAACAGCTCGAATATGTCAAATGATCAACGGGTATCTTTTTTCTTGATTTTGAATTTACCTTCTTCAACTTTTTTTTTCTTTGATATCCAAAGGTTTTCTTGTGAATTTCATTAACAATCCAGGGGCGGATCCAGCAATTTTTGAAAGGGGGGAAAGCACTCATGCACAGAATCACACCTCGGCCACTTTAAGTCCGTAGCTACATTTAAAAGAAAGGGGGCCTCCAAAAACAGTTGACAAGGAAAAAAAACCCTTGCACCACACTCTAAAAGCCAGGAGGGGGGGGGGTGTTGGGATGCTGCAATCCGACGTCCTTTCTCATCAACACACGCACGTAAGATGTTTATCAAAATTACTGACAGAAAGGAGAGATTATCTATGCGGTCACCTGACAAAAACTACATTTTTTATTGGTGTAATTAAAAATCATGCTGAAAATCTCTGACATGACGTTTGATTGGCCATGATACAAGAAAGTTATTAAATATTTATTATGGTGTATCCTGATTTATTTGGACGAAGGGTCCAAATAACTCAGGATACACCATAATAAATATACAATAACTATTACTTAAAAAGTTGTGAAGTATTTAGATCTCTTAAGCACTGACTTTGAATGTGTACTTTTGAATTTCAAGTCCAAGCAAGAAATGGCAAAATTCCTGATAACGTGTAATACAAGTGTCATCTACCAGTTCAGTCTAACCTGTACCCACATTTATATTATTAAGTAAAAATTAAGAAATTTAATGTATTAGTCTTGCTGTTGAAATCTAGTGTAACCAGTGAAAGAATTAATGTACAATCTACTGAGGAGGTTTACTTCTTGTTTATGTGCTAGCAAGGGCTTTCTGTTGATGTGTGGACTTCCCGTTTATGTGCAGGGTAGGGAGATAGACTTCCTGCTGATGTACCCCATGGGGATCCGGGTTAGAATAGGTCCTCAGTACCCCCTTGCTTGTCATAAAAGGCGACTAAATGGGGCGGTCCTTCGGATGAGACCGTATAAACCGAAGCCCCGTGTCACAGCAGGTGTGGAAAGATAAAGATCCCTCCCTGCTCAAAGGCCGTAAGTGCAGAGCATAGGCCTAAATTTGCAGCCCTTCACCGGCAATGGTGACGTCTCCATATCAGTGAAATATTCTGGAGAGGGACGTTAAACAGTATACAATCAATCAATCAATCCTGCTGATGTACATTTGTTGACTAGTGAGGTAGACTTCCTGTTAATGTGCTACATGCCAGTACATGGCTAGCGAGGTAGACCCCTGTTGTTGTGCTAGTTAAGGAGGTAGACCTTTGTTGTTGTGCTGGTTAAGGAGGTAGACCTTTGTTGTTGTGCTGGTTATGGAGGTGGACCTCTATTGTTGTGCTGGTTAAGGAGGTAGACCTTTGTTGTTGTGCTGGTTATGGAGGTGGACCTCTATCGTTGTGCTGGTTAAGGAGGTAGACCTTTGTTGTTGTGCTGGTTAATGAGGTAGACCTTTGTTTTTGTGCTGGTTAAGGAGGTAGACCTTTGTTGTTGAGCTGGTTATGGAGGTGGACCTCTATTGTTGTGCTGGTTAAGGAGGTAGACCTTTGTTGTGCTGGTTAAGTAGGTAGACCTTTATTGTTGTGCTGGTTAATTAGGTAGACCTATGTTGTTGTGCTGGTTAAGGAGGTAGACCATTGTTGTTGTGCTGGTTATGGAGGTGGACCTCTATTGTTGTGCTGGTTAAGGAGGTAGACCTTTATTGTTGTGCTGGTTATGGAGGTGGACCTCTATTGTTGTGCTGGTTAAGGAGGTAGACCTTTGTTGTGCTGGATAAGGAGGTAGACCTTTGTTGTGCTGGTTAAGTAAGTAGACCTTTATTGTTGTGCTGGTTATGAAGGTAGACCTATGTTGTTGTGCTGGTTAAGAGGTAGACCACTGTCCAAACGTAAAAAGGATGTTATGAACATATGAAAAGTGTGTACCTTGTTGACTTAGTTGGTTATAGAGGGGGTCATAGGAACTTACACTTACAAAATATGATCCTCATCCTCTGTAAAGTTTTCTGAGGGCATCCAATGACATATGCTCTGGACCCTATTATGTAATATTTGAATTAACAGAACCAATCTGTCTATCCATTTTTTTTGTTCTGTTAATTTTTCTTAAATTATGCGGTTCTGAAAAAAGATTTGTTACACTTGAATAGAGGAGAAGATAACGCGATATATGTAATGTCTATACAGGTATGTGTACAAAGTAAGAAGCTTTTATTATCAAGTTTTATCCTGATCTAATGGATTCTAATTTATAATCATAAAATCTTTCTTGTTGACTTTTATTGCTGGTTATTACTTTGAAATATTGCGACAGTTTTAAAGATTTTTTAAAGTGATGTACTTTTCGAAGTTTTGTATTTTGAGGATATTCATATTCCATGTATTTATTTATTTCATACAAGGTTAATTATAAAACTAGGGGTATCATATTAAGTATATAAGCACCGAGTTCAAGTTATAACCCTACTTCCACATTAGTATAATCAGAAAGACCGTATTTTGCCCTGCATGAGATTGCTCAAATGTCTTTTCGATCAAAACCAAAATAGGAAGTCACAGTGGCTCCATGTAATAATCCAAAGAAATATTCAGTAGTGTATGAGAAGTTTGTAGCATACTCTAGGTATGAACAATTTCTAAAACGAAATAGAACCATTCCCAGGTAAGCTTGGACTTTCAGTAAGGCGTGGCATTCTCGGAGCTACGTAATTAGCGTCTGTCAAATGGCGAATAGATTCTCATTGGTTTAAAAATTAATAACACCAGGAACTTTAAATTATTATTGAAACGATGAGACGACTTAAGCTCAACCTATTTGCCGGACGAGACAATGTTATTGGTTATTCGATACACTAATTGGCATTTGCCCGAATTTCTATCCCATGTATTTTAACAACAAAGGAAAGCTGTATAAATTTCAGAAGTTAATTATGTAACGTCGAGAATGCCACGCCTTACAGAAAGTCAAAGCTAAACTGGGAATTGTCCTAAATCACTGACAAACAAGTTGATGAAACAAGAATATCAGCAGTCTCGTTTAAAGTCATCGTTTCGAAAGTTCTAGGGTCGTTACAATGACATTGTCAGCAAATTTTATCATTGAATCAAATGCTGACTGACGTTT